CACGACAACATGACGAAAGCTGATGTGAATTTTATTTAAATATTTCTATATTCAACGGTTTTCATCCAACTTCATAAGGAAGAAATACCTGAGAACTGTAGCCTATCATAATATCATTTATAATTATATAAATCGTTTCATAACAAATGTTATTTGAAAGCCACTATTACGTGTCCGTTTGAACAATATCACTTAACTGATAAAAATATTTTGTCCAATACCATCAGAATATTATGATTTCATCTTGCCAATTCGGTTTGATTACTTGGTTCACGTTTTATTTATTGTCATGAGACAAATAGTAAAAAAGAGTACGAGTTTATTTAGATCATTTGCATAGCTGTTTCAAATGACAGGAAGAAACCTTGATTACTGTTCGAGAATACAAAGCAACGTCCTTGAAACGTCGCAGATCACTTTCCTAAATACATTTTTTTTGTAAACACGACGACGTTCTCGACCCAGTTTCCCTCGGTCAAATGACGTCCTCTTGACGTCCGCGTCTTGTTATCTAAAACCGTCTATTGAAATGGGGGTGAGGGGGGCATTTATGCAGTTGCCACAATAATTTTTGCTCCTGATTGTCTCTATATTTGTACTTTTGAATGAAACGTAATTCATTCATGTTGATTCAACTTATTGCTCCAGGGAAGACGCTGACTTGGATTTCTTGCTTAATGAACCTTTTGCTACACGGCAAAAAACGCCGAGCCCATTGCTCAACGTTACAGGACTGAACAATGTTTTGCTGCCCACGTTGTTCACACTTGTCAAAAATATTGAACAATGTTTGTTGAGCCTGAATCGGGTGTAACAATATTGTTCAATATTGTTGACAGCTATGAACAATGTGGGCAGCAAAACATTGTTCAATCCTGTTTTCATCAGTATTGCATCAACCTGAGCGTTTTTTGCTGTGTATGTAATATTTTTTCTCAGCCGTTTTCTATAATTGAGTACTTCATGTAAAAAGAATATAGGGGATCTTGAGAACTATGGTTATTTTTTGTTAGGAAAGCCGGACGATTAATTGATAAATATACACATTGGAAGATTATAAAATAATGAATAAATTTCAGACAATTTTTTCCCATGGCTGGCAATTATGAGTATTTTTGTGTGTGTTAGTGTAATGTACTCAGGTGAATATGATGCTTGTGATGTTACTCTGAGTGTATATCCACTCAGAGTAACATCACAAGCATCAATTATGAGCATATTTTTTTCTCTCAAACAGAATATTTCCTTTAAGTTCAAGAATTTTATAACAGACAACGCATCGTTCTGACCTACTTACATACAATTTCGGAAAAATTTCAATGATTTTCCTACTTTTAGCTGAATTGTTTCGTCAGATTGACATACTCACTAGATTTTAAACCCAATTCAAGCGTTTTATTTATGTTGATATACGGATATACCGATCGTAAACTTGCACTAGAATTTATTGCAAACTTCTATCTCCTATGATTTTGGGATTATGTGAGATGAGCTCAAGCAAATCTGGTCGCATATGCGCAAAATATCAATCTATTTTTACGTATCGACTAGACACGTTACACGCACGTTACACCACACGTTACATAATAATCTGTAGTAAAACATATAGAGATATAACACGTTGCACCGGAATCGCAGGGCCGTAGGTTCGATTCCTACTTACCAGAGGACCTTGTGCTGCATTTTTCGCAGTCGTTCCTGGTTAGGTCTTAAAATGTATATATTCTCACTTGGATTCCAAACCCTAACATTCTAACATTAATTCCACCAAGTGAAGTGCAGAATCTAAGTCATGAAGTCCACCTTATCACAACCCGCACATCCGATTACCTATATATACAATACATGAACTTACGGTTACAGCTTAACAGCTGGCCTCTGTAGCTCAGTTGGTTAGAGCGCTGCACTGGAATCGCAGGGCCGTAGGTTCGATTCCTACCAGAGGACCTTGTGCTGCATTTTTCGCAGTCGTTCCTGGTTAGGCCTTAAAATGTATATATTCTCACTTGGATTCCAAACCCTAACATTCTAATATTAATTCCACCAAGTGAAGTGCAGAATCTAAGTCATGAAGTCCACCTTATCACAACCCGCACACCCGGTTACCTATATATACACGAACTTACGGTTACAGCTTAACAGCTGGCCTATGTAGCTCAGTTGGTTAGAGCGCTGCACCGGAATCGCAGGGCCGTAGGTTCAATTCCTACCAGAAGACCTTGTGCTGCATTTTTCGCAGTTGTTCCTGGTTAGGTCTTAAAATGTATATATTCTCACTTGGATTCCAAACCCTAACATTCTAATATTAATTCCACCAAGTAAAGTGCAAGAATCTAAGTCATGAAGTCCACCTAATCACAACTCGCACACCCGATTACCTATATATACATGAACTTACGGTTACAGCTTAACAGCTGGC